GAGGATCCCCTCCGCGAACCCCCTAAACAGTTAGTGATTACCATTTCCATTTTCTAGCCATGCACAGCCCCTAGCGCCCAAACCATAACAACCTATGTCTCAACCCTAAATCCACTGAATGACCCACACCAATACCCATACCATGGAACCACCAGAAGACCCATAGGAAGACCCACATAGAAAAACCCCAACCTCAAACCCACAGACCAATCCCCCACAGAAAAACCATATTCCCCAACCCGAAATCCCTTACCCTAGAAAATGGAAATGGTCATCTCAAACACAATATCCATAATAGCGGCCAGCACAGTATTTTGAATACTCACCCTAAACCCCAAACCCCAAACCCTAAACCCGAAACCCTGAACCCGAAACCCTAAACCCTAAACCCTAAACCCTAAACCCTAAACCCTAAACCCTAAACCCTAAACCCTAAACCCTAAACCCTAAACCCTAAACCCTAAACCCTTAGGGTTTAGGGTTTAGGGTTTAGGGTTTCGGTTCTAGGGTGTTATGTTTGGGCATGCCCTCATACAGATTTCTGAGATCCGGAGTCCTCGAAGTCTTGTCCCCCGCCGAATTCTCAAACATCGCAGTCATCACCGTACGACATCTATGAACGCGAATGCGCGCTTTATGCCTGCAAACGACGGCGCAAGTATATGATAAGCCCCAATCGTAGCCAACTTCGGTGTGCAAGGATACGGAGAAGGTCTTCCTGCTGCCCGAACTCTGCACGCCCACAGGTGCGCAGAGTCCCTCCAGGGTCTCCGGCCCTACTTGGGGTTGAGGGTGTAGGGTTTAGGGTTTAGGGGTTTAGGGGTTTAGGGGTTTAGGGGTTTAGGGTAGGGTTTAGGGTTTAGGGTTTAGGGTTTAGGGGTTTAGGGGTTTAGGGGTTTAGGGGTTTAGGGGTTTAGGGGTTTAGGGGTTTAGGGGTTTAGGGGTTTAGGGGTTTAGGGGTTGGGGTTAGGGGTTTAGGGTTTAGGGGTTTAGGGGTTTAGGGTTCGGGGTTTCGGGGTTTAGGGTTAGGTTTAGGGGTTAGGGGTAGGGGTGTAGGGGTTAGGGGTTTTAGGGGTTAGGGGTTTAGGGGTTTAGGGGTTTAGGGGTTTAGGGTTTCGGGGTTAGGGTTTCGGGCGTTTAGGGTTTTAGGGGTTTAGGGGTTTAGGTTTAGGGGTTGAGGCGGTTTCGGGGTTTCGTGTTAGGGGTTTAGGGGTTTTAGGGGTTTAGGTTTAGGGGTTGTAGGGGTTTAGGGGTAGGGTTTAGGGTTTCGGGGTTTTTCGGGTTTAGGGGTTAGGGGTTTAGGGTTTAGGGGTTTAGGGGTTTAGGGGTTTAGGGTTTAGGGGTTAGGGGTTAGGGGTTTAGGGGTTTTAGGGGGTTAGGGGTTTAGGGGTTTAGGGGTTTAGGGGTTTAGGGGTTTGGGGTTCGGGGTTTCGGGGTTTAGGGTTTAGGGGTTTGGGGGTTTGGGGGTTTTGGGGGTTTGGGGGGGGGTTTGGGGGTTTTGGGGGTTTGGGGGTTTAGGGGTTTAGGGTAGGGGCTAGGAGTTTAGGGGCTGAAAGTGTTTTGGGTTTCAGGGCCTAAAGGCTTTGAGGGGATTCTCGGGTGCAGGATACACCCCCTCTCCCGGCACCTACAGGGCTGCGGCTGGGAGAAGGGATGCCCTGATACCCTGTGCCGTCTAAATTGGAGATCCCAACCCGATCCTTGAGGATTTAGGGTTTAGGGTTTTAGGGTTTAGGGTTTAGGGTTTAGGGTTTAGGGTTTAGGGTTTTAGGGCTGCAGGCTGGGGGTTCCTCAAGGCAGCTCCAGCACTCTGAGCCTGAACCAGAAACTCTAAGGACTTGAAACTCTGAATCCATGACTAAAGACACCCTCAACCCTAAACCCTAAACCCTAAACCCTAAACCCTAAACCCTAAACTGTGGAGATCACCACGGGCATATACATGGGCGCTCGAGCCGAATCTACGGGCCTGGGAGGGCAAAGCCGCCCAGGACGATAGCGACGCTTGTCACGGGTCTTGCCTCCCATCATGAGCCTCTATAGCTAGGACCTAAATTTAGGGTTTAGGGTTTAGGGTTTAGGGTTTAGGGTTTAGGGTTTAGGGTTTAGGGTTTAGGGTTTAGGGTTTAGGGTTTAGGGTTTAGGGTTTAGGGGCCGGGTCGAGGCCCCCTGCTGTCCATGTTTCAGACCTGGAAGCCCTTAGTGCAGATGCCAGCCATTGGGAAAATCATTGAAGAAACGCAAGACACGCCCCCCTGGCTAGATGGGTTTGGGGAGTAGAACCCTAAACCCTAAACCCTAAACCCTAAACGCTAAGTTTGAAAAGAAAATAGTTCGGGTCTACGAAGCTACGCCAGCTCGCGATGGGGAGTACGCCCCAAAAGCTCAAGCAAAGGCGCACTCTCCGCACGCGTACACTGACTGATGCACACCGTAACCCGAATCAAACCCTAGACCCTAAACCCTAAGTCCTAAACCCTAAACCCTAAACCCCAAACCCCAAACACTAAACACTAAACCCTAAACCCTAAACCCTAAACCCTAAACCCTAGGTAAACAACCCACCCCCAAACCCGAAGTACAAATCCCGGAAGCATTACGCCTGCCCTCCATCCGCCAATGTCGGCGAGGTATCCAGGATGATGTGCGCAAGGAGAGCCCGTCTAGGAGGTCTAGGGTCTCTGCGGTTCAGGGTGCCTTAAACCCTAAACCCTCAACCTAAACCCTAAATCCTAAACCCTAAATCCTAAACCCTAAACCCTAAACCCTACAATCCTAAACCCTAAACCGGTTCTGTGCCCGACATCCTAAACGGGTGTAGGGTGAAAGGTGAGGGAGCTGACAGTTGGTGGATTGAGTTGTTGTTGCAGTTTTTGCCTTATATGCAAGTCTTTATACACAGCTGTACTGCGGGCCAAACATAGGGTTTAGGGTTTAGGGTTTAAGGTTCAGGGTTCAGGGTTCAGGGTTTAGGGGGGTATTTATTTGGGTGAAGTTATCTGCCTGAACTAAACCCTCACCGCAGGAGAAGAGTGGGCTCTCGGATGTGCTCAAGCAGCTGAAGGTGGTGCCACAGGAGCTTCCACAAGTTTTTTCAGTAGTGAACTGAATTAAGCCCTAAGCACAAACCCTAAAACTAAACCCTAACCCTAAAGGCTGCAGCCTGTGCAGTCGGTGTATATACGGTTTGAGGGTGCTAGTTCCGAACCACTCGTCAGGGTTTGGCCTGCCGCTACTGGCCGATGACGATTTGGGTTCTTAGATGCCACATGTCAACCTTACCCCTAAACCCTAAACCCTAACCCTAAACCCTAAACCCTAAACCCTAAACCCTAGACCCTAAACCCTAAACCCTAAACCCTAAACGCGCAAACTCTCAATTGTGGACCCCGAAACCCTAGGCCCCTGAACACTAGGTCCTTCTCGGCATGATCCTGACCCCCGACTTGCCAAGGGCTGCGGAGACTCTAGCAAGTTTGTTTAGGGCTTAGGGCTTAGGGCTTAGGGCTTAGGGTTTAGGGTTTAGGGTTTAGGGTTTAGGGCTTAGGGTTTAGGGTTTAGGGTTTAGGGTTTAGGGTTTAGGGTTTAGGGTTTAGGGGTTTAAAGTTGTGGTGCTTGCGATGTCCCGAAACACCCAAATACGCTAGCCCTGAACCCTAGGATCCTGGGCTCTCAACCCACTGATATTTCAGCGTCTGCCGCTGGGGCAACAGACCGACCTCCTTGGACGTGCGTCTTTGGACCCAGAGACTCCAAAACCCCTTAATTAAGGAATACACCTTAAATCATATTAGGGTTCCGAGTATAATTTAGGGGAGAGACCTTAATTAAGGGGCTTTGGAGTCTCTGGGGACACACGGGAAACGAGGGTTTCGGGTTTAGGGTGGGCACAGGCAACTTGATTCCCCCCTTGCAGAGGCGATCACCACGATAGCTGCGCCCTCGAATGCACCAGAAGGAGTCGTCGCATGTGTATGGTGCAGCCCTAAACCCTGAGCCTCGAAACCTTTAACCCCAATCCCCTGGTGCAAGATTTCCGAGTCAGTGCGTACCCAAACCGGGCCGCCGTGACCGCAGAGCGTTTTCTGGGGCTGAAGGGCTCTGAAACTTGCCAGTTGGTGCTCAGGTGAAGTCGTCCGAAGAGGAAATACGACCTGACTCATTGTGAGAATCCCTTGTTTTTGTTGCGTCGCGCGGCCTTCGTTCCTTGTTCGACTCTCCTTCTGTCCTGCTTCTGTCATTGCTATACGCTCTGCAGGACAGCAGCACCACACGTGGACAGCACACGGGTACATACAGTGTAAGCACAGCAGACACGCACGCGCACGCCTGCACCACGAACCCTTCCGCACCCCAAGGAAAGGGAGGCACGGGCAAAGGCCGTGGGTGGTCCCTCTTGCGTGGCCAGAGGGCGACCTGCACAACCGCAGCGAGCGCACAAAGTCAAGTCCGCCCCTTGCTTCCCCTAACCCTAAAAGCCCTAAACCCTAAACCCTAAACCCTAAAATCCCTAAACCCTCAGGCTTCAGGGGACCTCTTTCTTGTCCCCCACTAACCCTAGACCTGCAGAAAGGACGTTTCGCCGATTGTAGGGTTCCTTGTTAAAAATAGCGGTTTTCCTATGAAACCACAGAGACATAGAGCTTCTCCTTTTACAAGACAGATGAAATAGAGGCTTCTGGTCATAATGTAGAATCTACAGGAAATAGAGGTTTTTTTATTGAGCGATATTACTTTGGCAAGTCTTCTTCGGGTTCGGCATTGCACTGGGGCACGACATGCAGTTATGCAGAGCAGCGAATCCTTAAACCGGAAGCCCTAAATCCTAAACGCAGGGTTTAGCTGCGTCTAGGGTTTGGCGGGTAGGGGCTCAGGTTTTTCGGGCTTTGCGACACCTAAGACCCCCCTGCTTCAGCCTACACCCCCAAAACCCACGCAGACTAAGCCCCGAAACCCTAAGCTCAGACTGGTGTGCTTGCAAGTTTTTGGGGCGCCCTCCA